GTTGTTATTTAAATTTACAAATAACAACTGCATGAGACCAAAGTATTCCGATCCAAATCTAAGGGAGTTGGCCCTAAAGGTCAGTTTCTAGAATAATCCTTGAAATAACGTACGTTTAGCGCAATCGTGGCCAAACAAAAAACAGTCCATAATGTTTTCAGAAACAGTATAAAAGGGCAAAAATGTCGCTTGACTGCTTTTATTGCTTATGCAAATTAAAGATATCAGCTTGGGTAGCATGGATGTAAAAAATGTTGCAGACATTTTACAGCTGATAAACAAGGCTAACAAAAACATCTAGGATTTCATGTCATTCTGTCAGATTGATGTATTAAAGCTAGCAGTTCTCTCACCGCTTATCAGTCGAGTCTTGCTAGTGCGTGTATGATGGCGTCAGATCGCGGTTCACCGAACCTCTCCACCGTCATTTCAGGACTTCATCTGATTTTTACACTCACATCAGTCGCTTTTCTCTCCTACAAAGTTTTTTACTTGGAGAATGAACTTTCATTAATTCGAAGAGAAGTGCCTACGCAAGCAGTCCGAGAATCCAGTAATGCTGGCATAGACGTCAACACAACTCCCATAACAAGAGTTCAGGGTATGGAAGATCAAGAGCAAAGAAGTGGACGAAACCGCCGAGCCGGAAAGAGGAAATCCGAATCATCAACATCCGACAAACTCAAAGCAGTATGTGTTCAGAAATTGCTCAGCAATCTTCAGGTTTGTAGCGTTCCTTTGTTTTTCGTGTTTTGAGGTGGCGAAAGAGAATCCAAATCGAAAGATGTGGCGAAAGAGAATCCAAATCGCCAACTGAGGTTTGTCTATTACAAACAACCTTATTATCGAACTGATCACTGAACCGGTAACACATCTAAAAATGGAAATAAGCCACCTTGTTTCTTAGTTTTTACGTTACCAATTACTTATAGAAAAGCCAGTGGTTAAACTACGCACGAGCGCCCAGAGCATGGCATGATAGGTGCGACCCCGATGTAAAATGAGATTGTAGTAGTTACGTATTCCCATGAGAGAATTGTGAATGACAAGGAGATAAGATTCACAAAGGGATTCCTTTGTTTGATAGCGATGGCGCTTGATGGTGTAATGCGATTTTCATCAGTTAAAACTTCAACACTAATTAATTCCAGAAACAAACGTTCCAGATTACAGTTGACAGTTAGATTAAACTGAAAAGACCTTTATTGATAAAACAACGATCAGTCCTGATTTGAAGAAGGACATAGGATTGACCACGATTCCTCAGCAATCTTGTTTTACAGGCTGGAAGGAGATCTGCCACAGGGCCCTCAGTAAAATTTGTCAAGCTCTTCCTTAACTTATTATCTGAGATATCTAGAAGGCTTAAACGGGCGTGGCCTCCTTGAGAAATCAAAACGAAGTTTTGAAGTTTCTGTTTTAAAATCTTGGGAATTTGTTTTGTTTGTAGTTGTGGTGGCTATTTCGTAGTTTGCATGAAAGTTTTATTGTGCTCTTTGTGGAGGTTTCAACTCCATGCTTCAGTTTAGTAACTGGCTTGACACGTCGTTTATTTGTTTATGATCAGAAAGAAATGAAGAAAACAAACTGGTTTACCTACGTGAGGGCTGGTGAGAAAGGACTCGCCGAATTGACTGTAATTTGTAAGAAGCTACGTCATTTTTTTCCGGTGTCTATTCTTTCTTTCATTTTTTCTTTTTTTGCTTACCTAACCTTTTATAAGGTTGCTAATGACGTGGTCAATGGAACTGAAAAAGTCATCTGTATGAAAGGTCAGTGCCTGCATGTTAGGCTTAAATTGTTTTTCTTTCCTCTTGACCTAGACGTGTTAGCTTTTGCTCAGTTCCGTCACGGAAACTTTTAGCAATTAATAGCTATTAGCTATTAGTAATTTTTTAGCTGAATAGTTTGGAACGGGGAAATATAATTGCTATAATTACTATTGTAATATAATCGTTTTATAATTAGTTGAACAGTGTTGAATTTGGTAAAGGTAGTTTCTTACTTAATTGCTGCCGTAAATTGATTTACTGACTACTGTTTGTTTACCCAAAATGATCCATAATCTTAGATCAAATGAAATGTAGAAGTTTTGGACGCCCTTCGGGGTATTAGCCTGCTTAAGATCCGACGACGGCAGACGTCTGTGACGGCGAGCGGAAGTGAAATTACTGCTAGAAAGACTTCCGGCTGCCGTCGTTGCGAAGTTTCCCGCCGTAGCGGCCTTGTCTGTGACGTGAAGAAGGCCATTTTGCCGTCGCGTGTAAAACGTGAGTAAACTTGATCAAAATAATGCCATTTAAACACATTTTGAGCGAAATTCTTTAGCACTGTTAACAGTTCATTCTCAGTAGACCATTTTTGTCGAATTTCTAAGCGACTTAAACGATTTGAACACGGTATTTAAATTAAATTTGTTTGCCTTCTCTAAACAGTATGACTCGTTAATCGCCATGGACTCGGTCAACTCGACAAAGAAAGCAACCCAGTCAGTTTTACAAGTTTTTTCTTGTGTTTATTGATGTCTTTATTAACAATTATGATAGGGTAGACTTGTTTCGGCATTAAATTGAGTTCCAATGGATTATGCCACTCATCTTTTCTCGAAATAGCGTTTTTTTTTTACTCGGCTTCTCTTACAATGTAATTTTAGTCAAGAGCTTTCAGTAAGGCAAAAAAAATGCATCGTCGTTGAGACACGAAACGCTCGCTTCTCGAAACTGCTCAAAATACAACATCACGATTAGTTTATGCTTGAATTAGGCGGCATATTGCACATGTACACATGTACACAAACATGACTGAGACCGCTTTGATTTGCTTTAGAAAGATCTGAACTGATTTAACGGTGAATCGATTTAACCGGTTTCCAAGGTCCCCTGTTCGCATGTATACGAGTCAGGCAACCCCATTGCCTCTTTGAGAACAGGCATGTCACTTTTTCTGAAACGAAATTCTGCTAAGAATTCACTTTCGTCAAGCCTCTCGAGGTCAAAATGTTTGTAATTCTGGTAGGGAAAATCGGGATATTTAGATCTGTTGACATCATACAACAGTAAAAATTCATCTTCTGAAATGTCATCATCATCGAAACTTGTCAGTAACCATTCACGAACCTTGCTAAAAGTAGCCATCGCTCTTGTATTTATTTCTAAACTTCAACAGAAAAAGGCGCTACAACAACCCGCCTTCGCGCGAGCTTTCTTAATGCTATTTCTCGCGCCATTGCGACGGCGACCTCACCCCAAGCCCCCTCGACCAAGTCTGCCGTCGTAGAATCTCGCCGTCGTCGGATCTTAAGCTCACTATTAACCCTCATAAAGCAACAGGGTTTGATGGGTTGTCCCCTAGAATGCTTAAGCCGGTAGCAGATGAGATTACAGAACCTGCGTGTAACGGTGATATTCAAGGTGGCTCGACTGGATTTTTTGGGGTTGATACCTCCCAAGTTTGAGCATTAACTACGTCGGCGTGAGTAAAGATATGGAAAAAAGGTTACCACAACTGTATTATATAAAGATGAAAATTTCTTATGATGTGGGTTTTATTGCAATCGGAGTCGCCATGGCAACGTAATGACGCCATTACGTTTTTCATTTATCGTTGTGTTTCTCTGTACCAGGAGTTTTTGGAAGAAATCGCTTAAGGGAGTATGTACCTGCCATAATTGCCTCCATTATGGCAAAGTTTGAAGAAATTCTATGAGAGCGTTTTCGAGATACCTCGAAATGTAGTTTTAAGAATCATCAAAGCAGTGAAATAGCATGCTAGCCGCTCAATTCGCTAATATTTTAAGAAAATGATAAGCTTTGGGAACGCGGCTTCATCTCATATATAGTGGATTGATTCCATTGAAAACTGCATCCAAAAGAAGAGGGGAATTGCTCAGGGCGATCGTGTGTAAGAAGAATTTTATTAACTTGCATTCAGCTGCTTTTTATACAGTGTTTGGAGGTAATTTGTTCCATGCCTAAAAATTTCGCATTTTTCCAAAAACCGCTCGATAAATTTATTTATAAATTCGACAATCCCGAGATCAATCGTCAAGAAATATTCCCTGCAAGTTTCAAGAACATTGAAAACAGGAAAGGCTTTTAAATAGGGACTCAAACATAACCAATTTTCCCCCCAGATTTTGTGTTTACAAGTGAGCGTCCTCATTATTCACTGGCATTGTTTTCAAGTTTCATATGCACGTGCACAACTAGCAAAAGATATAAATTTGCATATACGACGGCTATTTTCGCGCCTCAGGAGTTGCCCGGTTCGTTCACCAAGCTTTCCTTACCAGAAATGAAGACACTACCGATGAGTCGAAAAACGTTTCGGATGCTATCAGCAAAAGCAATTCAATTTGCACTGAGAAAATTCTGTTTCTGACGGATCACAATGTATCGTAAATAATAGGAAGTTTAAGATGCAGCGGCAACGAGAAAGTAAAAAAAGCAATAGCTTGACAAGACACAACAACAATTTTGCACGCGTTTTTGTACATTTCTTTGCCGTCACTGCACGACTACCACGTGAAAATGCCTAATTTCACGTTTTGTGAAGGACGTAAACAAGCAATGACAAAATTTTCTTTCTCTTCAGCTCCAGAAGAGTTCGCTTGCATTTGACAAAGTAAGCGATAGAGATTGAAAAAATGTAAATTCACTCTTCATGCCACGTTTTCGTGGCTGTCGGCTGTCGTGGCATGTTAACCTCCCTAATATTTACGAAGGCGTGATCGATGTAAGCGTGAATACCTGTTGTGGGCTCAATCTTGTATTTTTGGAAAAGCGTCTTTAGTTTTCGGGTAGACAGTATTTTGAAATGGAGAGTTTATATCAAACTGAAAGTTTCCTGACTGCGTGCATTTCTTTGGTGGATGAGCCAGACAAGCCGTGATCGAGTCAATAGCCGTCGTGTACGAACTCACGAAAAGAACTCAGGAGATGCTGTTCGCCGATTGGGCACAATAATACAAAGCATTTTTTGTGCCCAATCAGGAGCTAGCAATCGCTTGACCGTTTGGAAATGGTCCGGTGAGAGTCGGTACCCAGGGGCTTTTCCGCCTGTGCTTGAAAACTTTCGTCGCGCCTTTTCTCCCGGCCCGACTGACCGCCCCTGAGTCTCCGAGGATGGGAGAGCGAATGCCCTAAGGAGTGGAAAAGAGGAGAACGGATACCAGTGTACAAGAAAGAGGATCCGCAAAATGTAACCAATTACAGACCAGTAACTTTGTTACCGGCAGTTGGATAAGATCTTTGGGCAATTGCTCTGCTATCAATTTAGGGATAAATTCGAAACTATCTTTGACAATTTGATGTCAGCATATCGAAAGTGTTACAGTTGTGAAACAGCTTTGATACGACTGGTTCAGGACTGGAAACATTAGAGGGATACATGCAGGGGAGATTGAAGCCCCTTTTTCAACTGACATGAGTAAAGCCTTTGACTCTGTACACCCGACATTACCTCTGGCCAGACAGAAAGCTTAATGGTTTTTCTGAAAGCGCTTTAAATTTAATGAAATCCTATTTCGACGGAAGAGAGAACAGGTCACGATTGGGAACGGCGACCAGCAGTCGGAAGGAAATAAGAAGGGGATGTCCTCAGGGATCCTCACTAGGGCCTGTGCTATGGAATATCTACCAGAATGATCTGTTCTATATTCAGCATGACAGTCATTTATCAGTATACGCAGATGACCTAATAAAGTTCTTCATTCATTCATTCATTCACTGTAGAGAGCATGAAAAACAAACCAAAGTTTTTAGGGAAACTTAGGAAGGAACCTTCACGGGCTCTTACAAAGTAGTCCCCTTTTTACATTACATATCTTCATATCAGTAGCTTTAGGTATGTAACAGAACGTCTAAACGTAACTACAATTTTATAATAGCAATACCTCTTATTCACTAACTACCTGATTTATTACTACTAGAAAGAGTGATACGAGTTGGAATCATCAACAACCATACCCACAAAAAAAAAGATTCATCTTCTTGCCAAATATTTGTACAGGGATATTCAGTTCCAAATACTGACCATCCTATTACAAGTCCAACAAACAGTTGAATGTAATTTGTCAAATCTTCAGGTTGACGTTTTTCTGTTATAACAAAAAAACTAACTTTATAGGGGTAACAGAATTATACCGAATTTTCATTATGGCCCACAAGGTCAAAAATCCCACTAAACCGGAGGCAAACCTGTTCGCTATTTACATTAAGGCTCGGGTGAACTAAGAGTAATAAAAACTCGGGACCACCGAGAACAAATTTAACTAGCTTTCTTGGTGAGGCCGATTGAACATTCTCCAGCGCTCTTAGCGCTTGGTCAAGCTGCCTCTTATGTAAATCATGACTACCATGAATAAGCTGTTAATAAATAGGGTAAATAAAGTTCGATCGTGGTTCGCATTTTTTAATAGTAAGTGAATGACTAATAATCAGCCGATGAAAATATCTATACTTCAGGCCCACACGGTCCCCCAGGACAACCAGGACCCCCTGGGCAGCCAGGGGCAAAGGGTCCGCGAGGACAAACAGGAGCACCGGGACCTCGTGGCCGTCGAGGTCGTCCAGGAACACGAGGAAAAAAACGGCACTCCAGGTAGAAAGGGCCCTCGAGGAAAACCAGGAAAGAACCCAGACGTTAATGTTACCGTGCTTCAAAACCTTGTCGAACAATTGCAAACGCCCAATCAAGCAGATGTAAGAATGTTTGGTGAGTAAAATTGTCATACTTACTGTCATTACTATACTTAATTAATCATAAGTGTTGTTGTTGTTGTTGTTGTTTTAAAAGTGCGGAATAAATGCGAATTCAAAAAGAGGTTAAGAAGTCTTAAATTTGCATTAATGAAAAAAAGTTCGGCAAAGACTTTTTCCATGTAAACAAATGAAACGCGAATCGAATGAAGTGTTCAAAATGCCTTCCTTTGCAACAGTGCTTTTTCTTTGCCTCGGAGCTTTTTTCGTCGGCCAACTTCTTCTTGTCACTACTCACTAAATCCCATTCAGACCCTCCTATATCAATCAATTTTCTGGTGTTTTTAGTAAAAAAAATTCAAATAACAAATATGTTAAAAGAAGAATACGCAATTGAGATGAAATTTCTTTCAAGAAAGAGGATTTGTCGAGTAGAAATACTAGTAATTAAAATTCACTCACCTTTAGTGCTGGACGCAAGTCGCGGGTTTTCACGTTCTCGACAGCATGTAGACGACAAGTCGAGCATATGCAGTAGCGTTCAAGTCGCCTCGGCCACTTACGGTAGGTCGTCGTCGTCCCATTCGTTGTCAATGCATAAAGGTCCCTAACGTACTGTTGTGGCCATCCAAACGTGCATAAAGATGCTAAGGTTACATTGCAACTGGTACATTACATACTACTAGCTGTGGCTTGTCTGACAAAACACAGCTGACGTCATGAGGTCGCGAAACGTTGGAACATTACCTCGTTAGTTTTAACATGTTTATGTTTCGGTAAATTGTTATCATTATTATCATTAAGATTATTATTATTATTATTATTATTATTATTACTATCATCATCATTTCAGTTTGATATAACATTTTAGTATTTAATAGCTTATTATAATAAATGTAATTGATCAACAGCTCCTCCTCGATTCACAAGCAAGCCCCCACCACTCATCTTCATTAAGGAAGGCGGTAATCTGACACTAAGTATTTCCGTATCTGGGAATCCACAACCTAAAATCACTTGGTCTGTACGTCTTAAAATACACGAAAACCAAAGTCGAGTCAGCAGTACTGGTGACGAGACGTTTGAGTTAAATGGTGTTCGGTTTGAGGACGAGGGAGTGATCACGTGCCGCGCCGAAAATGTATTTGGTGTTCAAGAGACCGAAGTAGAACTTACTGTATTAGGTAATTTCTTATTCTATATTTTTTAAGCAGAATGTGTCATTTAACCCTTAGACGTACACGCAAATTCATACCGCCACCGTGGTACAAGGGAGGGGGAAGGGGTGGGGGTTGATGGAACCCCTTCACAGAGTGTTTGATATGTTCAGTATTGTTCGAAACGATTTTGCCTTCAAGATGAGGTATATTTTGTTTTTGGTGACGCCGCTAGAGGCCTGTGACATCACCAACAATGGTCGCCATCTTAGATTTTACCAAGAATTAGAAATCAGGTAAAAATTGCCATAAATGGTAATTTTTTTGTGCTTGACATGTAATTAACAGCACATAAAAAATCACTTTGTATCATTTTATTCATAAGGTTAACTTTTATTGTTGAAAAAAGTTGGAAAAACATGCATTTTCACTCAAAAATGACTCAGTGATCACCTGCTAATTATGACGTCATATCTCGTGACAAACCCCCCTTGTACGTTTGAGGGTCCTCATTATTTTTTCTTAGTTTGTGAGCGGGCGGAATCCTCCAAATCCTGCAATCTGATTGGTTCCGAGAGCGGGCGGTTTTTTACGACCTTTCCCGTTAACCTGGGTGGAATCGTTGGCAGCTTCATTCACAAGTTTGTTTGTTGTTTGTGAATGAGCAAACTGAGCAAAAACCGTAATTTTAGGTTATTTTTCTTTTAAAACTTCCGCTTTTATTAGCACTAGCTAAGGAGAAGTGAGTTTTTCAGGCGCAGTTTCTCCCAATACGGACCTACCAACCGGTGAATAACATATATTTATTATCTTACTTTTAATTATTATATCTGTTGTATTTATTATTAAATATTTAATTTTTTAAACCATTTTCCTCTTTTGTCATAATTTTAAGTTTGCTGTTGTTGAATTTTTACCTTATTTTATAGTCTTTGCCTTTTCATAGTTCCCTTGGTCCAGGTGCATTTATAAAATGAGTCCACCATTAAATCCGTCTAAGTTTTGTATTTATTTTTTGTTTTAGCAAACCCTATTAGCCCCTTAGCCCCTTATATTGGCATTTCAGGGGTCTCCCAACGGGCGAGACAAAGGGAAGTCTTTGATTGAGGTCATTGTGTTTAGGGGTTTGCAGTAAATTTGCGGTATTGTTCTGTTTTGAAACAAAATTCAAAATAATTAGCATAATTAGCAAAATTCCCAAAAAATGCCATCCAGGTTTTCTCGAAATAAGTGCGGGTGAAAATGAGTAAGAGGTTCAGGGGTAAGGTAGGAAGAAAGGACAAAACTTTGGAAGCCCGAGACCGATGCCACGTTAGGACCATACCACTCCTCAAAATGTCAATTAAGTGGATTAAAAATTAAATTCTAGAAGAAATAGAAATGAAGCCTTTCTTAGAAAAAATGAAAATTTTGAAATAAAAATGGCGGTCAAAACTCGGTTGCCACGTTAAAGCTAACGTACACGTCACAACGACTTTAAAAATACTTTGAGGTAAAATGTAGTCGCCAAGTATGGTGGTCAAAGCTTGAACGGCTTTGAAATTATAATGATTCAACTTTTTATCGGGGGCTAGTGGGAATCGGGAAGGGCCTCTTCCTGGTCTGAATAGGGGTAAGTAACGGTCCGGTTATAATGAAAGAAATCCTATTGTGAGGAACATGTGAAACGCTGAACTTTTCTTAGCTATTGTTTGCAACTGTTATGATCGATTGAAATCTTTAATCACAAGGAAATGACAAGATTAGAGTTCAATAAAAACAATATTCTGTTTCGTAAACTGCTTCTCTGTACGTTTATTCATCCTCTCTGCAAAAAAATGAAAACTTTCCTTTGTAAGGAAAGCGTATTTCGCCATAGCAAAATTAAGACCATTAATCCATCAAAGATCATTACAGTTTTAATTATTTTACTTTGCAGGTGCACCGAGATTTTCTAAGTCTCCTCCAGGAGAAATGACTGTTTTTTTGGGTAAAGAAACAAAAATACAATGTGATTTCCTTGGAAATCCAACCCCTGTGGTAACATGGGCAAGATCTCCTGCAAAACGTCTCCCTCAGGGACGCAGTGAAGTGAAAAAAGACGGACTGTATATCAACAGCACTGAAAGAGAGGATGGAGGTGTTTACACTTGCTTGGCAAGGAACGATTATGGAATTAAACTTCATGGAACTTTTCTTAAAGTCAGATCAGTAGGTAGGTATAGGTAGGGAAGTTTTTACAATTAATCCACTGCTTCCGCTGAGGCAAAAACAAAAAGCTTTGGGGGATCATTAATTATATTCAGTACCCCCTGACCTGAGTAATATTCTCTTGTTAGCTTAAAGCGACAGTGCAACATCAAAGGTGGGGGCGATTTTCACCGATAACTTGCGGGGAGATAACCAAAGTTAATTCTTCCTGATATTAAGGCCAGAGTATTACAAGTGATGGTCTAAAGCTCCCCCGATTATTTCTCTCTCGCCTTAAGCGATCGTTTGAAGACATAGTTGAAGCTTTGTCGTCTTGATGCATTGAAATCTGAGCAAGATGACCCCTTTTATATTTTCTTAGATACACCCTCAGTGATCTTTGTGTTTCAAGAAATCTGATTGGTTTGCTTCCTCTGACTATGACATCATAATTACCGCACAAACAAAAACAAAACAAAACAAAATTGCTGGAGTCACAACGTGTTTTACCCACGTTTTAGAGTAAGAACTTTTGAAAAAACACAAGAAACCTTTTAAGCGATTGTTACGAAACATTGTATTGCGTGACTAGCGTGACTTTCTAGAAGCTTCGCGAGAGTTCGTAGTTTGTTTATTTTAGGATCTTGCGTAAGCGTTTCTAAAGCGGTACATTTTGTAACCTTTCTATAATTAGACTATTTGGAAAGTTCTAGAATCTTATTGTAAATGTATATAAGTAGGCGAGCCCGAGTTAAGGTTTAACTAGTTTTCACAAGCGAGGAGAGTTCGACGTTAGTCGTGTTTGTCAAGTGTGACGAAAGCAGTGTTTATTCAAGTTGGCGGAGGCCGTGTAAGTTTACCAAGTTAATTGAAGTTGGCGGAGGTCGTGTAAGTTTAACGAGTTACGTGCTGTTGTGGAGTTTTACTTCGTGGAAACTACGTTCATTTTGGAATAAATCTTCTTGTTGCTGTTCCGACAACCCTGCGTTCAGTTTAGTTTGCAAGCTACCTGTCCTCTAAAAGATTACCCGCGTAACAGCGATGATGTTTTTGAATAGGTAAGATTTACTCACAAGACAAAATTTGACAAAACTCGAAGTTAATTAATCACGAAAAATTGATAGCAAATGTTTTCGAAACTCTGCATGCCAGCAAGAACGATACAGCAAAACAACGCTTACCACCTCGATCGCAGCCGCCATTGTCAGCACTTGGGAAGAGCGACACAAGAAACTTTAGAGTCAGCCGATTTTAAGCAAATAAAGCTCTCAAACTGAGGTAACAATTTGAACTATTGACGTTTTCTTTTATAATCTGTTAACGCTTAATTATTGTTGGCTTACAAATGGACTGAAATGATTCTCCATGTTTGAAAATTCTGAAGGAATCCTATTGTTGCGCATATATGTACTGTTTCAGGCATCGTATTCATTTTCATTCATGAATTGAACCGTCAAGCAAAATAATCGTTCTGTAATGGATTTCCTTCTGATTTCTTTAAGGTCACTTTCTGTGTATTATTCTTTTCAATCTCAATGAATGTTTACCTCGATATTTTCCTCTATTTCAAAGTATAATAAATTGTAACGTTCACAAGGTACAGAAAAACGGGCAACAAAAAAACTTGCAACTTGCATAGCAATGTTGCGCGTCATACCACCCACATAAACCCTGTCTTGCAACAAATCAGGTTGTTAACAGGTTTGAACATCGGTGGTAAAACGCGCAGCATCGCTTTTCAACTCGTTTTGCAGCAATGTTGCAAAACAAGTTGAACGTTTTTTGTTGCCCGTTTTTCCGTACCTTAAGTAGGCCAAGTACCCATGCTAGATGTTGGGTGTGGTGCCGTGCCCGAGTACAAGGTCATTCGAGACCTTGTACTCGAACACAAAAGAGCAGGGCACCTGGTTACTGTGTGCTCACCGTTTTGGGTGAGTTCCTGGGGCAGTCCACTGCTTTGTGCTCGCTGCTAAGCTTATGTTTCAAAATGGCACTAGCCTGTTCCAGGCTCCAAGACATGGTGAAACGTCGTTCAGTAAAAAGGTGTCAAAAGAAATGCAAAAACGCGCGGGCGTTGGGGAGAGACAGGGCCCTCTTTCCCGAGTCGCGCGCGTCTTATTTTCGTTCTGCTCGTTTTAATACGTCCCCACTATACTATCTGAGAGCCTGGCACAGGCTAAAATGGCGCCAGCTAGGGCCATTTGGAGTAGCTATGTACACAGTTGCATATCGGGTCAGTACTCAGGGTGTGACGCAACACCATTGTTTGGAAAGAGGGCTTTGTAAATCCCTCCCAATTTCAAGTTTTATCTCACCTAAACGAGTGATAAGCTTACTAGTTTAAATTCATTTTTTTCGCCCAGAGTCGCCTGTATTAACCACGAAACCACGAAGCTACATAACCGTAACAGGTATCAAAGAAGAGATTCACCTAAAATGTTCCGCGAAAGGGTTACCACTTTCCAAAATCAGTTGGTACAAAGACAACATCATCATACCCGTCAGTAATGTTACCAGTAATGTCACCAAAGAAACGGTTATCAGCGAATTTGTGATTGATGAGTTCCAGCCTTCAGACCAAGCCACGTATAAATGTGTCGCTACCAACATGTACAACAATACAGCGGAGGCAAGTTCAATGATAGGTATGGTGTCCAGTGGCATTTTTTCTTTTTGAAATTGTGTATATTCTACAATATGAGTTGCTGCTTGGTCATTCTCTCCAACTGGCAACTAATTGCTCTTTTAAAAAATGTTCCTGTACCTCCCAGAATACAGGTTGCATAACCTAGCCTGTTAGTTAACAGTTAATGAATGAGGCTGAGTATCGTATGAAGAATTGTGGAGATCGAGGAGGGTGTTATCGGCGGAGATAACATAATTGTTCATAATGATACGAAAGCCGAATTAAATAACTGTTTTATTATTCATTTAAAATAATTCCTAGTTTAAAAACATAGCTAAAACATGCTTACCTCGATCCATTGATGTTCAGTTCATCTTCGATAGTGTCCAGCTCCGCAAATATTCTCCAAATAGCAGATGTCGCCCTTCGAGTTGTCTTCTTGCTGTTCTTACCATGTTTTTAGCCATTTTTTCGCCTAGTTCTTACTCTTGAAACGAGTGAAATGTCCGCCATTTTTTCAAGTTCACAACCAAAACAACTCAACCTCGTCCCCAGGTCTTCTCGGTTAACGGTGCACCCTGCATTTTTGACGTCATTTCCTCATTAAAGTCAAAATAGTATGGATATTGTAAAAAAAATTGTTATTTTTAACTCGTGGGTATGCGCGAGCGTACCACGAGTTATTGCAGGGACAGGAATATGCAAATGAGTCACTCGCTCACTCGTAGTAGACGCACTTCTTAATTAATCGGGTCCGAACTCGAGAGCGCGAAGATCTATCGTTTCCAAAGAAGCACGCGCTCGCCGAAGTTCGGTGGCATCAAATTCCTCGCTGAGAGCGTGCATCGTGCGCTGCAGCACGGTTAGAGGATAGAGGTCTTAAGAAGTTTAAGACACACAGGAATCTTTCAGATTAGTACCATTCAAGAGCCTTTGACTCGTCCAGGCGTTAAACTTGACGAGAAGATGAGCATTTGCTCTTCGACTCCTTCAACTTCGACGCTGGCTTGATCTCCTACCTTGTAGTAATGTGGTAGGTTATGTGTATGAATGAATGTATGGTAAATAAAGTCACTTCTTCTTCTTCTTCTTCTTCTTCTTCTTCTTCTTCTTCTTCTTCTTCTTCTTCTTCTTTATAAGGACTCCCCAAGATCACGGGGGGAAATGGATGTGATTTTGAGCATTAGCTTTAAAATAACAGCGGAAATCGAGATAAGAAAACATAAGCTTATGTTTTGCGTCCTACTTCGCGGAGGAGTTGTGTCGGCTTTGTATCGCATATGTTCTTTCATTGCCATGAAATGTGTTTACATTGTTTTTTACTGTCAGTAGCCTGGTTTCAATTAGCCTTAATTTCATCCGATTGCTTCGAGTCGTTTTTTCAATCGGTTAATGGCTCGATCGTTTGCCGGCGGAAGTTCCATGGCATTAAATTTGAGACTTTTCACCAAATCATGTGATCATCCTCAATGGCGTAGTGGCTATGCGAGGTCGGGTCAACTTGAAGGTATTGGGTTCAATTCTGCTGACGACCTTCTTTTTCCCTTCTTCCTTTTTTTTTCTTTTTTGTTTTGTTTTGTTTGCTCATTTGTTTTGCTGGGTTTTTTTTGTTTTTTTGTTTTTAAATATATACCTAAATAACTGTTAATAAAGTGCAATAAACAGCTAGAAAAGTATTGTTTCCAGAACAAGGATAGTACTGATTTATAATCTGAATTTCTATCATTTCCTAAAATTTACTGTGAGAAAACCAGAGGTAATATCTAATTGATTATTTTCTAAACAACGTACCCACGAGTTGACGATAGTCTTTCTTTGATTTAAAATTATTGTAGACTGTTAGTTACACACAATCAAGTGCCGGCGTTTTCTTTTCTCCGAGCAACGGAAAGCTTATCTTGACGGCCATCAATAAAATGATGTAGGATCCAGGACCCCACCCCACACTCAAAATTAAACATTAATAACAACACTCACGTCACTTTTGTCTTTGTGGTGTTGTTGTTAATGTTTGATTTTGCCTTGGATAAACAGCAGGATTAGGATGCTGTCATTACTGGGCTGCCTGTGCGGCCCAGTCATAAATTCGGTTTTCGGTCGTCGGTGTCAAAAGACGGTCATCCGGGGGAGGGAAAACACGAGGGTCTAGTACCAAGAAACGAAGTTCTCACAAATGGTTTCATATGATTTTCTCTTGCACGGACCCTTGCACGGATACTTTTTAGACCTCGTCTCCGCTCCCCCTGAAAAACCCACAAGGCGTTGCGAACCTGACGAAGGCTATTTGCGTTGTTCGAAGCGATTCGATCATGGGAGTCACTCTATAATTTTTTTATTGTTCGAGTTTAAGTCAGTTAGATGATGTTGGCGCTGGGAAACTCAGAAAAAAGCTCACGTTGCATACAAACCGACACGCCGTTCACGGTAGGTTCACACCAAAAGATGACTGTGAGCGTCAGGTTTGGAACGCCGGGGCCGCTTCGTGAACTCAAAGAGAGAATTATCGATCGATGTAGTACCATGAGCAATTAATAAGCATAATTTATGAGCAAAGTATTTCACCAGTTGACGACACTATGGCTGAATACTTCATTGTAAGCTGTCGTAGTCAGTGAAGCGAACAACTCAGATGAATCCTGATGTTACGCACGTCCATTTTAGCGAGGGACGTGACAACTTTGCCATGTTAGAAGACTGGCTTTTCCTTTAAATATTTCCTTCTATTTAATTTGGAGGTCTAAATTTCGGATACTGATGATAAAGAAGCCACGGACAAAAATAGGAACTCTGAGAATTTCGCACACAAGTTCAAGGCTTGACTTGAGGAAAATAGGAGCTATTACTGACAAGGTTTGGTGACTGAGTAGAGCATACAAGTGTAGCCCACGTCGAGGTTTCAGGGGGGTTGCTTTTGTTTGTATCTGTATCTTGCTAAGCTTTTATCATTAAATTTGTACATGATCTTCTCATTTTCGCCCATTCAGCAAGCACGCTATAGTGATGTCAGCATTAGCGAGTTCCAGAAACATGCCTTTGAAAATTTTCAGCTCTCGTGATGTTTCTTGATATTTCTTCTACCATTTTATGGAGATGTAAACTGAAGTCACCGCAAAATGGAAACTTAAAAAAGCGTATAATCCATTTATCTCGAAACATAATACACATGACTTATATGACCTTTATTTTCCTAAAGGTGTTTTGAATACGAACGAACACAGTCAATGGGAGGGGCAAAAACAGCATTAATATACTCAGTAAATGAACCATAGGGTTTTAACTAATATAAGGGTCAATTATTGTTCATTGAGATGAATCGCTTGAAAAGAGAGACTTCGCTTGAAGTTGTGATCAGAAGTAAACAAAGTCACAATACTGCGTCACGTTCAGTCTTTTTAATATCCAAGGACTGTGAATAGTGATTCCATATTGTTTAGCTGGCACAAAAACTTTGGAGGAGTTATAAAGCGGCATAGTTATCGTCCATGAAGAAAAGTTAGTCATGGGTGAGACAAACAATGAACTGGAGCGAATTTTTAACTCATATCGGTATCAGGTAAAAAATATGTTCTCGATCGTTTCATCTATTTACATTGTTTGAAGTGCTTGCTGATGAAAGCAACTTGCGAGAGAGAAATATTTAAACTTTTTTAGGTCACGAAATACAAAGGATTTTATTCCTTTAAGTTTGAGAAAAGTAGCAAGAGGAAAATCTTAAAACTGAATATTTTTTATCTTGTGGAAAAAATAGTGCGTTTTCATGTAGACTGTAGACCGCAAATTACGATCGTCTATTTACTGCACGTCTCACAAACGTGCGAATTCTGAAGTTCAGAAGCCAACCGACGATTGCGTTTTTCGCTGCTGTCAATCATCTTATCTTAACGGACCTCTTAGGAAACAAAACTTTACTTCACGGGTTCAAAAGGTCATGGTTTGTGATTTGTGGATTTCGATCCGTTTTGTGTTTCTCTGTTTCAAGGTTCGTCGCTGATCGTAATTATGATTGACGGCAGCGAAAAACACAATTGTGAAGGTGGCTTTTGAAGTTTAGAGTTTGAATGTTTGTGAAAAGCGCAGCAAAGTCTCAGTAGAGTCAGAGGCCCCCGGATCAGGCGGGATCAATGGCCAGTTGGCTGTCTGTTTTAGTATACTTCTGGTGTTCATACAATACAATATTTCTGTTTAGTGTAAATCAGCTCCGTCCGTCGTGCTTTATGCTCGTAGAACGACAACAATTATTGGAATTTCCGGTTACGTCAAATTAGTCACGTTATACTGTCACGCTATATTTTGTGGCACAGAGGGATTGGGAGAAGGGTGCGTGAAAATAATGCAATCGTTTCCTGCTTAGAATTAATGGCTAACTTGTTTATTTTTACCATAATAATGGAATTTAAAAGTTATTATACAGCCCCCACTTAAAAATGGTACTCTTTTTTGGGGGGGGTTACAAAAGTCTTTCAAAAGGGTACAATGTTCTTAATGAGTTTATGTTTCAGTCTCACATGAGATTCTGTCGCATGCAATGGTCAGCGACAAAGTTTTGTAGTAGCCTGAGTGTGTATAGCCGCCCCCTCCCCTCAGAAACAATAGCCCCTTTGCAGCCCAGTTAAAAATCGCCTTTCGGCGATTCTTGTTTTACATAAAAAGTCCCCACACTCAAACCCTGAATAGTCCTCGAGGTTAAATTGCTGGTTTTATTTCATTATAATTATTAATCAGTTTATTATTTTTCAATTGAACATCGTACTTATCATTCTTGCCTTCGCAAATGAAATTGTCCTTTCCTAGCGGGATTGCCAACTCATCAACGCGCAGTTTCACCCTACCTTCAACATACATTTTGCTTCTTTCAGTTTTACAAAGTTGTGGTAACCCAGGCAGACCAAGCTATGCTGTTGTTTCTGGCAAGACTTACTGGGTAGGGAGCATTGTCAGGTACTTCTGTAATCCGGGATATACTTTGATTGGTCACGGCGTTAGAAGATGCATGTCCAGTGGTTCATGGAGTGGAAAGACGCCAAAATGTAAGTGCCAAAAACGAATTTTAAAGACTAGAAATTTAAAAAGAATACGAAGAATTTTAGCATCATGTTTATTGCAAAATTGGGTTCCCCGGTATTCATCGGGATTCACCAGCCACGTTCTCAAAAAAGGAGACTTTTTTCTTATAAGTCAATCAAAGAAGAAAAAATCAGAGTGTCGGTCAGACTGATGCTTGTGCGGATTGTCAACCAACATCTATTTTGTCAAACTTTGACAGACTCTTCGGAAAATAATTTGTAACTGAAAAAAAGAAGGAGTTTATAAATCAACTAGTAATCATTTAGGCTTCACATAATGGCTACCCCTCCCCTGCGCAAGGTAGATTGCATTAAAAATCTTAACTCGAAATTCATGATATCGTTGAAGCCCTGCAACAAATATTGATATACAGGAATTCTTACACAGCTGGAAAAGGCTTTTGAAATAAACTGAATGACTTTGTGTTGGCTTTGCATGCCCAATCATGAGCCAAAAAAGGAACTTTAAAGCCAATCTGGCGAACCCAAAACCTTTATTTGGCGCTCCGTCCAAATAATGAGAATTGTATCTTATATGAAAATTCCAGAGGGGAGGGGTAAGGATTTCCAGGAAATATGCCTCTTGTTATGTTTCAGTAGTTTAATTTTGGCCACACGTTATTTTCTGCTTGCATACAATTCATTCCAGTGTTTTATAACCTCTGCAACCAATTTATTTCAAAACTTTATATCACCCGAGTCTAAAAAAATAATCAGATGGACAGGCCAAAACAGCACCTTCAAAACGTAAAGTCTAATTGTCGGCAACGCCTGATTTGTTTTGACATTTTGCCCAAACTCTGATTTGTTTGTGCTTTGAGCAGTTTTCATCTTTTTTAAAATATTATTTTGTAGGTACCAGTGCACCAGAATGCTTTAATTTCATGACGTTAGAGGATTGGACGAGAAATATAAACCGGTACAAGCCGACTGGCAATTATAAGTATGACAATTATTTAAAGCATGGCTGGTACAGGTTTGTAACAGGGTCTCAAATGCCCTCTCGACCAAGTTCGAGTCCGAGTTCTTATTGCCATAGTTCCGGCTATTGTGACACTAGTTATCAAGGAGTCTTAGTAGGAAGTCATCCGTCAAGCACGAGTTCCGGGAGGGCCTATCGTACGGTGTGTTTCGGCAAGTCTGGGAACTGTTGTAGGTATTATAAACACATATATGTACGCAACTGTGGAAGTTTTTATGTGTACCAACTGACGCCAACATGCAGTAGCTGTCGATATTGCACATTGTATTAGTCTTGGACTGAAATCTATGACTTAATTCAAAAATTTATTGTGCTAGGGATCCCGCTGACTTCCCACCCATAGGAAACCATTGTAACAGGTCGAGTAATTGCGTTAGGAAAATAACGTAGATATTACCAGATTTTAGATTTGTTTTGTTTTGTTTTGCATTATTAATTAAAAGGATCTTGTGAATGGTTTGAACCCAGGAGTCATTTCAAAAGTAGGTTGAGGACCTTATTAAAGAACAAATTGCATGATGGTGAAAGTTGAAAATGTGCGTAGTGATCAAAGCAGCTTAGGCTCTCGAGTTGGTCACCGCCACGTGCAATCCGTGTGAGGCGGTTTATCCGCTTGATAATTCGAGTCAGATAGGTAATACGTCTTAATTTGAAAATGGAATCAATGGTTTTAATTTTGAATGATCGGGAACAATCTGTCTGACTGTATGCGTCCCCTTATCCGTCAGTTTCTGTTGGGGGTGATTACCGCTAAAATGAGATGTTGAATAATGCTATTCTATTAGGATCTTTTAGACTCCACAATTGGTGTTATGTCCTCTCAATTTGGCATTGTAAATTCCATTCGTCCATTCTGTTTTTCTATTATGTATTGTATTTTGCTATTCTAACATGGCGTTTTAGACTTCTGTGGTGATGTTTTGCTCTTTTACAGTCAAACCAAGTCAAGCGTACCCCCCAAGATTCTATTTTAAAATGAATTGATTATTTGAAAAATGAATCCGTTAGTCGTTCCCGTAACTGGTGTCAAATTCAAAGCGGCATTTCTGCATGCGTAATGAGCAGTGAATATATTACGAGAGCTTCCCTGTATTTGGTCAGATTGGAAATCTTTGAATGGATTAAGCTTCTTAGAAGACATTTACATCAATTTCAGGAAAATGGAGCTGGTAGAAATTTCATAACTGCCTCGCGTGTGAATTCACGGCTCATTACACATGCAAGAATGCAGAGATCAATCTGAAATCTACAACTAGCAACGGATTCAACTTTTGAATAATAAATTCATTAATGTATTCTTGGGGG